TAAAAACGAAAAAAGAACAAATCAACCAGCCAAAATAAGCATTTTCTCTTGCTATTTTGTAGGTCATTTCGATTTTTTTTTTTTTTTCAATGTCATCACGCTGTGGGGCTTGAGGCGAATGTACCTGGGGGAGCCCCCCCCCAAAAAAAAAAAAAAAAAAAAAAAAAAAACACCACTCTTTAGTGGTCGGCCCGTTCACCGTGAACGGCCGTTCACAAAAAAAACACCAAATGAACGGCCGGTCACGTTCACGGGTCCGGCATTGCTCCACCCCCGACGTTCGAGAGTCGGCACAAAATTGCGCCGGAAATTCCTCCCGCGGTACTTTTCCACGCCGCAGACCATGTGGCAACACGATTCCGCACTTTTCCATCCCACAAAGTGCGGCGTGTGGGGCCCCGCGGAAAACTTCCGCAGAAAACACAAAACTTTTCCACAGACTTTTCCAGGCTATGTGGGCTCCCGGAAACAATTCTGCGGCAAAAGTTTTCCTTGCCGCATTCCTGTGGGGTCCAGCCCTAAATCACGTGCAGCCTTTCGTGACACATACAGTCCGTGGATGGAGATTGATATCCATGGCCCGCATGTTTGTGAAACCGTGAAGTTTCATGCCCCGGGTGTCAACCAATCCGCGTTCTGGAAAGGCTTACTTCTTTCAATTTTTTAATTCGAATTCCACTGTTCATCCGTTGCAGTTTTGCCCATTTTGAGGTAGGATTTTGCATGTTTCCTCGTTGCTCTCAGCCTCCATGAGATCTGCAAAACAGAAACATGACCTTCAGAGGACGCAGCCCATTGGCTGACCTAAGAACCCATCCTCAAAAACAGGCGACGAATTCGCTGCCTTGTTGCCCATTGGCTGACAGGAGAATCCAGAGAATGCTTTGCTTTGGTTAATTCACAGAAAACAAGGTTTTAAAATCTGCAAAAATCGGGAAACCATTTTTTTAATGCGAAAACAGGGTCACACACGTTGTACAACGCTGCTTGTACCCAGCGACCTAGCTCAGTTGGTAAGGCACGCAAGTGGCATTCAGGAGCTCTTGGGTTCAATCCCCATTCGCCTCATGTACCTTCCTGGGCATGCTTGGCGCCCTGTAGGCTATCAGGCCACCCTGGGCTGAAAAGGCCACCGTTGTCTGATTAGGCACAAGATTGAATTTACCTGGGCTGGTTAGTCCGATGATAATACCTCAAGGCCATCGCCCTTTAAAAAAAAAAAAAAAGAAAAAAAAAAGCTGCTTGTGGGTCCTGACCCCTGGCCCCAAATCTCGTGGCAAGGAGGAAACAGCTCCCCAGGAGGCTCCCCTATGGCTGTGCCTCCATGTGGTGCTGTATCTTGCCATATTCCAGCTGAATATTCATCTGGTGAATGGAACTGCTTAGGCCTTGGCCCTACCATGTGCTACTGTGGCCCGTTGCAGGTGCAATGGGAGGGGCGCTCACACCAGGGGGGGGGGGGCAAGAAAAAAAGGAAGTGAAAACGGCCCAGGAAACAATAAATTTGCTGTGTGGTGTGTGGGAGAGTGTTGACCATAGCCTCTGCTGCTACTCGATGAAGGGTGGGGGACGATGAGAAAGGGAGGCACAGGTACTGGCAGGTCTCGGTCTTTGTGTTAGCCAGACCCCCACTGGCGGCCCCAACCCTATACCCTAAMCATTAGGGGCAAGGGGCAACATGAAATCTCCCCTTCACAGAGAGAGGAGAACTATGCTTGCAGGGTCCCCTCTAGATAGTCTTAGGAGTAGGTAGTGGAAGGTAAAAACAAACAGACGTTGAGAGAAGAATATAGACAGTTGTGATCACCCCTATAAAAAAAACAAAAATTGCTGAATAGGAATTGGGTATCTTCTTTTATTTTTATTTTTTTTGCACAAAAGAACATAGATTACAACAGGTTTAATCTGTGCCAGGGATCCCACAATTCAAGCCGGAGTTATCCTGGCAGCATAAGCCAGTTTAGCTTATGAGCCCAGGCTCACCATGAATTACCACACCTTGACCGGGAAAACTCAAGATACAGAGATTGGCCAAAAACTGAACAAACCAAAAGAGAAGCCCACAAAATCAAGAGTCCCTAGCTAACCTAACCCACCTCTCTCCTACACCGGCCCAATCAAAACGAAAAGGCTAGCCCTGAGATGCGCAACCTCACACCTCGCGCGTCGTCCCGTACCCGTGAACGCCTATGTGTCCCCCTAGGCCACTGCTGCCTCCGACTCGGCCGCGGCCGAGGAGGCCGGCCGCGGGCCCTCGGCCTAGGCCACGCGGCCGAGTTCTCGCGTGGCCATGCCACGGCGCAGTGGGGGCGTGCGCGGGTGGCCCACGTCATCCCCTATGGGACTGCAGCAAAAAAATTTAAATTTTTTTCTTTTCTTTGGGGGGTGTTTTTCGTGACTACCTAAAATAATTAAAAAAATAGAAGAAAAAAAAAAATCATTGATTGATTGGTTTTTTTGATTGATTGATTGATTGATTGATTGATTGATCGATTGATTGATTGATTGATTGGTTGATTGATTTATTGATTGATTGATTGATTGATTGGTTGATTGATTGATTGATTGATTGATTGATTGATTGATTGGTGGGGGAGGGGTCCTCCC